AGGGAGGATTGCACGGTTGATTCAAATACCTGGTCGAGATGTAGTGGACGGGATGGGATGGGATGTGTCTTGTCGGCAGTGGCGGAGGGAGTATGAGGAGGTGGATCGAGGAGCCCGCCTTCGGCTGTTGCCTCTGGCCCTGCCTTTGTTCGGCCGTTGGACATTCATTTTGGAGAGTTGGCGACGAGGATAGACAAGTTGGCTGGCTGGCCGGCCGGCCGGCCGTGGCTGCGATGCGATGCGATGTGACGAACAAAGGAAGGTGGTGGTGGTGGTGGAGGAGGAGGACGAGGAGGAGGTGGAGTCGAGTCAGACCACGAGCTGACCCGGGATCAAGGGACCAAGGAGATTGGCAGCACCTAGACCACACCTAGACCACACAACAGAGGCTAGCGGCCCCCGTACCCACCCAGGCACCACACCCACAGCACAGCCGGGCCTGGCTTGTTCAGTCGACGCTCCCCTATCGTCTTCAGCCATGTGCTGGGCAGGGAATATGCCTCCATCCAGCAGGCCTGTCGTCCCCAGCCGAGTCAAGCCAACCCTGCCCGCCCAGGCCAATCCGATCGACTGCTTCTGGCTGGGCCTCCCGAGCCCGACACCGTTGGGACGGTTCCCCTTCCCGCAACGGGAGCCAGGCGCAGACCACGACGCCATCTCGTCCGTCTCCCCCCCCCTCCGGCACGAACATGACAGCTGCACATCACGGCAGACTGAGGAGTGACCTTGCGACCTTGCGACCTAGCCACTGAACGACGGACCACTCAGGCCACAGCGCGGCTTGCTTACGGCCACCACCACCAGCGCCAACCGCCAACCTCGTCCGCAGCCACCGCCATCATCGCTGCTGCTCGTCTGCTGCTTGCTGCTGCTTCGAGGTTGGCTGTCTGCTTCGCTACCCCAGAAGCAGGACGCCCACGCTGTTGCCAGCTGCCCTACTCTGCGATCTACGTTGCGAGGGGGCCGTCTGCCCGCCGTCCGCCCGCCCGCCTTAATATCCCTCTTCACACTCTGGCCCACCTGCGTTGCGTCTATTGCCCTTTGCCTATCGTCCCAACCACCAACCTCCTTTGGAAAGTCCAGCTCCCCGTCGGCCGCTCTCCTCTGATCCGCATCGTCAGCTTCGGTCAGGAATCCGTCCATCACTGTTATTCTGCGCCGGGCCTGGCCTGCCGATCGCGTGCGTCTTGCGCTGGGGCTCGCCCGTCCGCTTCCTCCCTGCCCGCCTACTGCAGACCGCAGACCGCAGACTGCAGACTGCAGCAGAACAAAGTACAACGGCAAGCTGTGAGTTGGCACTGTCGCAGTTGTGTCGCAGCTCAGCCGCAAGCCCGTCGCGACGACTGGACGGCGACCGTCCCTCTCGATAACCATCGCCCGCTCACCCTCCGCGGCGCCCCCTTTCGACGCCCTCGGCTTCTGTCATCATATCACTTGCCCTGTTGCTCACTCTCTTGACCGCTCTTGACTACCTCACCTCACCTCCCGACCGACCGATCGGCCGCTGACTGACGACTGGTCGCCGTCTTGCCGAGCAGTCCGACACGGACAGACTGACAGGCAGGCAGACAGACGGACAGACTGATTGACTGACGGTTTGACCGACTGGCCAAACACTGACAGACCGGCCAGCGAGCAGCTCTCTCTGCGCGAGCTGTTCCTTCCTGTGGACGGAACGAGCCGAGTCCTATCAGGTCCAGGACCAGACCGCACGAAAACGACGTTGAACCATTTTGGTCCGTACCCTTGCCCGCATCACCACCCGCGTCTGGGATCTTGCACTCGTGCCCCGACCGCGCAGCTCTGTCTTAGTTCCACCCTGCAACCACCGGCCTCGTCTTGCCTATTCAAGCTCTCTCGACGCACCAGCCCGAGGCGGCTCATCCCCATCGGCCATCACCACCTCACCTCAGGTTCCAGGCTCGGACGGTGCTCAACTGTAACTACCCCTCTTTCCTACCTAGGTTCTTCTAGCTAGATCGTTCGTCAAGGCATATGGCAGCAGCAGCAGCAACCACCGGTGTAGAGGTCGAGGCATTGCAGCCAGGGCTCCCTCTGCCGAAGTGCGCTTGGGCGCGCACCAATGCACGAACGCCCACAGCCTGCCCGCTTCCCCACCGGGCCATTCTCACCGAGTTCTATTCCTCTAATTATGCTTTTTCTCCTCCTCCCTGTGCTTTGCTTTTTCCTCTGATTAAGCTAAACAATGCGTTAGTCATTCCTCGAGTCCTCTCGCTGACGTCGCAATCAAAGACAGCGGCGCTCGTCCGGCGCTTCTTTACCGGTCGTAAGGATCGACTCCCAACTGCAGGCGCTCCCGACCCGCTCTGGTCTCCTCGTGTCCCCACATCCGAGGCAACTCTTGCACATGCACTGTCGTCTGTGGGCTTGACCGGCTAGGTGGACACATCGACAACCCAAGGAACACCGCGTCATACGCCGCTTGACCACAGCCTAGACGAGCCCCGTGTGCCAGCACCGCCTGCGAGTCCAAGCTTGACCCTAGGCGCCAACCCAGCTTCCTGCCTCTGTGTCTTTCCCAGACGGCCCTGTGCCACCTCGGCGGCTGTGGCGCCTTGTGTAAGTCGGCCGACCGCCACAACGACACCGGCTTCAGAGGGCACACGCGCAGACCTAGACACGTCTTGCGGACGAGGGCAATCCATTCGGACACAGTCGACGTCTGTCGGCTGAACTGAGACCAAACCACGGATCGAGCCATCGGTGGCCCATCTGATCCAGGCCTGGTGTTTATTGCCGGATTGGCTCTCCCGACCTCGTTCTTCGGCCTGGCTCGCGCCTCTCATCCTGGGCCGCTCTCGCTGTCCCCTGGCCAGGCGCTCACCGTCTTGCACTTGTCAGACTCGGTCAGAAGAATCAGGAGAACAAGGACCGGGAACGGTGTCTTGGAGGAGCCAGTCGAGTGGACGGTTCGCAGCAGACCTAGTGAGGTAGCTTGTACTCCTCTGTACCTTGCCGTGCTGCATCAGTCACCCCTCCCCCCCTGCACCTCCATCTCGATACAGCCACGCCCCCTGCCCTGTCACCACTTTTTCTTCCCTCTCGTTGCACTGTTGCCCTTCATTGCTGCGGTGGTCCACACTGTCCTGCCAAGGGTGCTCTGCTACCATGGTGATGGTCTTCCTGTAAGGAACCCCAGCTGCGTCGACACCTAATTGCACCCCTTCTCCACCCCGGTATCTCAAATCAGGCGGCTTTTTCCTTCCCTCTCCTTGTCTGTGTCGATTTGTGTTGATCCTGCGCCCGTACTTGCGGCTCCTGGCTCTGGCATTACGACCAACGCCTCAAACAACTAGCATTGCTGCTTGGCTCACTCACCGGGCTTAGGTTCCTTGCTTCGTGCACCTGGTACCTCTGACCGAAGTACACATACGTTTACTGTGTGTGGGCATTTTCCCAACACACCCTCTCTGCAGCAGTCATGGTAAGCTCCTCCAGTTCCTGTTCCCCGGTTTGCGGCAGACTGCATTGGATATATCATCGGACTCTCTTCGTCCCTGGCCGTCCTCATCGACGCCCGTCCCGGCCCTCTGCTGCACACAGAGCCACATCCTCACCTTTATTTCTTGCCTCGGCCTCCTGCTCGCCTCGAGTCTTGTGCTAGCCTCGCACCTCTCTTCGTTGTGTCACATTTCCCTCATTCATTCGTGCACCCCTTCCCCCTCCCTTCCCCGTCCCTCAGCCTCGATGGTGCAGCCAGTTGATGTTATATAGAGCGGCCACCTCACCCAACGCCGCGTCCGCGGCTATCTCGATGATACATCAGAGCAAGCCCTACAAGACCAGTCCTTGGTACCCTCCTTCGAAGGGCCAGTCACGTATTCCTTTCCACATCAGTTCTATTTCCCAGAGCAACCAAACACAGCCCTCAATAGCACAGACTTTCTCCGCTTCCCGTACCCGGCCCTGCCAGACTTCACCCAACCGTATACCGAACAGGGCCAGGGTCACCAGCAGGCTTTCCAGGAGCATCAGCCACAACCACAGCAACAATATTTCGAAGCAGATCACCAACGGCACCCTCGAAAAAGACAACGGGTTGACTCAACGAATATGCCGATACCGTCTTTTATCTCGAGGTGCCTCCCTAGCCAGGTCGACGATGAGAAGTCACCAGTCTCCGGCCCGCCTGACGGTCAAGATGACGGCCAATCATCTTGCATAGGCGCAACTGCCTCTTCCCTGCGCAAATGTCTGGGAATGGCTGGCATGCGCCCACAATTCTCGGGCCTCGACACGACAGCGGGTAAGAGTCCTGTCCCGTGATCGCTCCCGCAATGACTTACAAACGATTGAAAGCATATCACCCTATCCCTTCTACAGCCCCCTATGATGGCGTGGTACCACGAGCATACTCGACGGATCTGCTCTCCCCCGTACACAACCATGTCCCTGAGCATCCCTTGGGGTCGAGCAGCGGCCCCCAGCATCCGTTGATGTTTGGCACAGAAGAGTCAACTCACGCCGCCCATCTTCAGGGCTACCCACCTCTCCAGCCAACAAGTCATCTGAGCAATCAGCCTACCACCAGCCCGGACACCATGGTTTATGCGGCCCAGGACGCGAATCATGGGTATCTGAAATCAGAAGCAAGTCCAACATTCGTCAAGTCTGAAGGTACGGACCCTGGGTTTCCAGTGTCCGGGTTTCCGAGTAATGCGGCGCCACTACATACAGCGGCGGAGAGTCCTTACACGCATTCCGGCCTTGCTAGGCCAGAGGAGAACTATGCTCGCCAAAGCGTGGTGGGCTATCAAGCCCCACCGCCGCATTATTCCTTTCTGCATGGCTACACCCCCGCGGACGGGCTGAACGCTGACCAAATGGACCGTTTCCAACTGGCCCAACAAGGCAGTGGGCTGGAGGTCGTTATGCCAAATCAAAAGCCTCCGATCACAAAGCGAGGGCCTTTCAGGAATCAAGAGAAGAGGAAACAAACAGCACACGTAAGGAAGATAGGAAGTTGCATACGATGTCGGATGCAACGCATCAGAGTAAGTGGCATTGCACAGAGGCTGACTCGTCAAGCGTCCGACGTGCTGACCATCGAGTGTAGTGCGAAGCCAACACTGACACCCCTGACGACCACGACGCACCCTGTGATGGTTGCAGAAAGATCGGCGCCAACTCCAAGATCCACCGCCTTCCGTGCAAACGGTGGAAGATCACCGAGGTTAGGCTGTTCAAACCAGGCCAAGTCAAGGGCCTGGAGTGGACAAGGCGTTGGAAGGACACCACGATGGCGCCTGACATCTGCCAGTGGGACTCTCCCGATGTCAAGATCATTAGGCTGACCGAGGGTTATGCGGACGGTGTCCAGTTGCGAGTCCGTCGATTCGTCAAGCAGAATGGCGACAGGTTGCACCGCACCTGGTTCGAGAATGGCGAGGAGCAGCGCTGGTACATAGAACCGTACGCGCTAGTTGACCTCGAAGGGGCGAGGGCGCAATACGACAACTACCTGAAGGCGGGGCTGAGTGGGATGCTGAAGGCGCTGCTTGGTCCGAAGGAGAAACTGCTCTGGAGGACGTATGAGCACGCCATCCGGCGACTTAAGAGGCTGGAGACGCCTGAAGAGGAGAAAGAACTAATCTCCAAGACTCTCGACCTATGGGCAGCTGTCCGCCTGACGACAAAATCGTTCCAGATCATTGGGCAGGAGACGCTCGGGATCCAACCCCTCAAAGGAAGCGTCCCTATTCCGCCTGTGATGGGAGCGCAGCTCGACTTCATCCTCCTGAACCAGACGCTGCCCAAGCTTCGAAGGGAAACGTTGGAGTGCTTGCAGAACATGACGCAGGCGAAGAAGCAGAGGACTTGGCTGACGACGTACCTTGTCACGTTCATACTACTGCACAACGTGGCCCTTATCACGGCTCACGACCGTAGCTATGCCAAGAAACACGGTCTGAAGGTAAGTCGTTCGTCAGCAGCACGGGGTGGAGGCAGGATGGCTGACCACAGGTGCGCGTAGAGCAACTTTGCCAGGAAGGACATGGTAGAACAGTACCACTTAGGTAAGTCCGGCTGCAGTACCTCCGACCATGTTGCATCCTCCGAACATTCAGGGAGCACAGAACCATTGTTGATAATGTGGACTGACTTGGTTGGCAGGTGCCAATATCTTCCTAGCCTACTATCATTACTGCAACAAGGGAGTCTACCCATTCTCGACGGAATGCAAGGATTCTGACCTGCAGAACTTGGCCGAGCTGGACGAAGGGTCGATTAATTTCGTCAAGTACACGAGGAATTATGCCAAGGAGCACAGTAAGTCGATACGCATGCGCGTGCACAGGCGGAGGAAGGCAGTTGTAAAAGAGGGCAGACAAAGTGGTGAAATCAAGGTGCTGACCGCATACTGCAAAACAGAGGATCAGTGGGACGATCTGCACATGGCCAAGGACTACGGCAACGACTACTACTTCATCAGACAGCTGTTCGAGCAGAATTGGACTCCGCAGTCAACGACTGTCGACTAAGTGAGGACGGGGGACGGGGTCAAGGGAGCCAGCACCGCAGGGCTCCGATCTGCCCCTTCTACAGTCGTGTACAGGCAGTCGGAGAATTGACTCTGGCAAGCGATGTGGGCCACCCGCCTCTGCAGCACCAACAGGCATGCATGAGGAGCTCGCCACGGAGGAGTGCCTCCATGGATTGTCATCGGAACCCTGTCCCAGCTCGCCTACCGGGTGAAGGGCAAGAGCAGTCCGGTGTGGGGCCTATGGCTGACCTTGCAGCCCCTACCCTAGCTGCCGCGTAGGACACGCACGAACACCCCCACCAACCAGCAACCTCAAAGATCCACACCGGTCGCATGCCTCGCCTTTCACAAAGCAAAAAGTGTTTTCTCAGCCATCGAAACCCCCCCCCCCCCGGAGCTGTTGGGGAAGACTCACTGTACGCATGATTGGGCGGGACTGGGAGGTGGGCTAGCTTGCGTGCGAAGTGCTTCTGTGTGGTCTCTCTGTCTGTCTGTCCTGAGTTAGGCTGGTGTATACTGTGGTAGTCTGGATGCTGTTTCATGTTTGTATACCACCTCCCGATGCCCCCACCCCCCCAATCCGAGCGTCATTTGCTTATCTGGGAAAGGGCGGAAGGAAGGGGGGGGGCCATACAATTCTGGCCATGTCGAAGATGGGGTTCCAACATTGTCTTTGAATGGTGCTGAAGGGCGGCGCAAGGTTCACGTGTTCTCGGTCCCAAAGTCCCAGGGAAATGTACCGGTTGGGTTTAATTAGGGAGTTTTGCTCTCTCTTTCATGTCGGCTTCCCGGAGCGGCTCCGGGGGCACGGGGGTAAGGAGGGGGGGTTCTATTTGAGCTATTCGCATTTAGTACGAGCCGGGTTTCATTTGGGCTTGATCTTCCGTTCCGTTCCGTTCCGTGTTGTTGTTGTGTTGGCATCTTGTTCTTGGGCAGACGAGACTAGTGAGTTAGCGACTCGAGGTTAGTTTGAGTAGGTGGAAGGAGCTCGAATCCGATCCAGAGTCGATTTCGCCCAGGTGGCAGCGGAGTGCCTGTCTGTGTGTCCCGGATCGCAATCGCAAGCTTGTCGTCGAATGGTAGGGCGCATCGGACGGAGCTGGCACGCTGGAGGTGCTTCTTGTCTGCAAGCTCCGGCTGAGATGTCCGAAAATGGGATGTGCGCCTCTTCAGCAGCAACAAAGGGCGCGGCTTCCCCACCCGTTGAGCTTGCCGGGGGCGGGCAGGCGGGCTAGCCTGCAGCCGTGCTGCATACCCAGATGGTCCGATGTGCCCGAAGGAGACGAGAACTAAAAGGAGGAAAAAAGCAAAGGGAAGGAACAGAGGCAAAGAAGGAGAAAATAAAAAAGCAAAAAAAGGGGGACTACAACGCTACTCTGCAGCCTTGGAAGAACAGACTGCAACGGTCAAAGTTTCGTTTGGCCCGGACTATTTATTTGCACACATGAACAAACGGCGAAATCAACCATTCATGCACATGCCGACCCGTCTTTGCAGGCACGTTTTGTGTGTCTTGCCCATCTGCCCACACATCGACTTCCCGTCTGGAATGCTGTTTTTGCCCACCTCGACATGGCCTGCTCTTGTTGCTTCTGCAGTCCTGTCTGACCCGATCTGTCCCCAGCGTGACCTGAGGCAAGTCGACTGATCATAGACTGTTGGGACGGATTTGTCGTTTCAATACCAGGCCAATGACCAGACGAAGACGTGGTGGAAGTCCTGGTCAACTGGGTCACACAAGACCGCTGTCAAAATGCGCCCCCCAGATTAATCCCGCTCCCAGAGTCTCCGGACCTCGACTCTACCCCTATCTCCTCTCTTCTCTGTCTCTATCTCCTGCCCCCCCCCTCCAACACGGCCCCAGTCGAGGGACGTGTCTGCCCAAGCATCCAGAGTCCCATTCCTCGCCGCGGTCCTCTTCAAGACACAGCAACATCCACGAGGGGCGATGCGCCACCCCTTCCTCCCCTCCCTCTGCATGGCAGTGACGGAGAGGCATATCACTCTGCACATCACCAGTGCACGCAAGCGCAGCATCCCAGTCCACAGGTGTTTGCTTGCCTGCATGCCACCGACCGACAGGCAGCCCAAGACTGACGGCCCACAGCCGGTGACAAGTGTTTGCTACTTCTTCGACCTGGCCAGAGGTTTGGACGGCGCGCAGCGGCCTCCCTTGCCTTGCACCTACGGAACAGCGACGCGAGTAGGCGAGACGAGGACGAGGTTCAGGAGGGGAGTGCATCTCTCTGCCAAGACCCGTCATTGACCCGTCATTGACCTGTCAAGGGCCCTACACTACCTACCGTACGTGGGCACTTGCACACGCTCGCCCACCCGCTTGCCACGAGTTGCATGTTTGTTGCACACACGACTGCGGCACCCCGACCACACCACCACGATCACGGACAGCAGATCGGTATCAGTTATGAGCATCTCCATGCTTCCGCGCTGCCGTGCGCCCGTGGTTTCACAGCTGCACGGAAGCCAGGCCACAGAGACATGCACAACATCACAATGACTGCACGGGATTCGCCTGTCCGAAGGCGGTTTTTCGGGGGGTCCCAGCCCTTGGCCGTGTCGCCGGCCGGGTACGGCTGCATATACTGTACTCTACGCAGCAGATGGATATCGACATGCGCTCCCCACAGTTTACGGCACAGAGAAGACATCAGAGTTTTCTCCAGCAAAACCCCCATGCACACTGTAAGCTTCCAGGACTCTCCCAATCTTATTCCCTGTCTCCTCCCGCGGCCGTTCCCGCCGTCCGTCCATCGACAAGTCCTGGATATCTGGGCCCCTCCTGGTTTCCTCAGTGGATGGGCACCGGCCACCCGGTGAGTGCCACAGGAATCCCGGCCGAAGTTCCCGTCTCCTTATATTTCAGAAAAATTCTCTGTGGGACCTTCCCTAGCCGTACAGCGATGCTACCTTGCTGTGAGTGGCCCCCCAGGCCACCCTACAGTCCTTGAGAGTTCATCATGCCATCGCATGGGAAATCGCCAAGTGGCTGTGCAGCGCAGCATCGGTTTCACTGCGGACCTCGCTCGCCTGGCTGGCCCGGAAACGGATGGGCTGCTATCCCACAGAGCTTGAATCGGCTCACTCATGTGCGCCGAGTTGCTAGATGTCTCCCGCCCAGGTTGATCTCTGCACGCCCGCCCTGTCCTCACCCGCACGCCCCCTCCCCCTTCTCGTATCAGCTAGCTCCCTTCTCTTGACACCGATGAGCCGGCATTATTACTTTCGCGGGACGCTGCCCCTCAGACACCACCTGCAGAACCAAGACAATCCCTCCTTAGTTAGACGTGATTCTCATTTGCCATGACTGTAAGTAATGCCTTGATACCTGTGGCATCCATCGCTCTCCGAATCTCAAATCAATATTCATTATCGACGGCTCTTAGCCTGCCCGCCCCTCCTGCTGCCCCCCCCCCCCCCCCCCTCTCATCCCGGTCCAGATTCCAAGCCTGTGTGGCTTGTGTCTCTCTCCCTTGGCGGATGTTCTGTTGTCAGTCTCTCAAGGTGGGGATCACAAGTCTCCCAATGTTTTGTTTCCGAGGTTCCTAGTTATCCCTGTACCTAGGCAGCGCGGGACCTTGTCTGTCGCCTGTGATGCCCAAGGAGGAGTAACAGGCGCCGGGAGGAACTGCCCCTCTCTCTTCCGGTTCGAGAAACCCGAGAGGTTGCTTCCCGGCAGCTCAATGGCCGCGCTGAAGCCGATTGACAGCCTCAACTCAACGTCACCTCATGGACTGCTGGTGAATTGGACCTTTCCTACCTGCATATATGCAAGTCCCCAAATGGTGGATATCATCTCGACAACACTGTGCAGCGCTGTACTGCTACAGTCGACCGCCACCATCCTCAATACAATGAGGACTTCACAATTTCACAAAAGGGTACCTGCCTGCAGCTGCCGTGTCCCTTCTGTTTTGTTTCCCTCTCTGGAGCCGGCCCAAGGTACACACACACACACACGCACACCCGCACACGCACGCGAACACACACACACACACACACGCACACCCTCATCAGAGCTTGATGCATAGCACCGAGACTGCGTGGCCGTCGCGTTTGAGTGCTGCCCCCAGTTCGTACCTGAGGGACGCCCTGTGATGCTTTTCCTGTCCGGGTCACTTCCTGGCGTGCATTACTGCTATCCTCCCTACCACAAGGTGTCGTCGCTTGAAGCGCACCCAAGGAGTAGCTTCTTGTCCAGCCTTTTTCCCAGGCTGCTTTTTTCCCCTTCCTCCGTTGACCGTAGCGTTCCTCGCATTCAAGTATTTCTTCTCGCCCTGTCCCCAACATCTCGTCCTGTCTCTTGTGCTCCACACGTCACAGCATCTGTGTTTACCTCGACCCTTCACTCCCGCAACCACAAAAGCTCCATCAAGCCTCGGAATAAAGCCCAGCTCGACGGCAACAGTACCACCCAACGCCTCCCTTCTTGCTCAACCCCGATCCCGTCCTCGCCCTCCTGACTGCCCCTTGGAGAGCAGGCACATTGGCACATCACTGTCCCCCTTTCACCCTCCCCCGGCCAATCCTATCGACAGACCGACCGTCATCGATCATCTTCCCACTCCCAACACGGTAGTCAAGGCGAGCTGGCATCTCCTGATCTCAAGCAGGCCATCATGTCTTCAGTCAAGGCCCAGTCCATGACGTGCAACCCTCTGGCAGGCGTTCCGGGCAACGCCACCACCCCAGGCCTCAATGCTCTACCTGCTGGCTTCCCCGTCAACAAGGAGGCCAAGAGTGCCTGGGTTGGGTCCAAGATCTCGGACGGGGATTTCGTCTACCATCTCACCAAGGCGGAACTTGTTGAGATCTACAAGGCTGTTATTGCTTTCAAGGGTAGGTGCCACAACCCCTTGATTACTTTACTTTACTCGCCCACACGGACCCCTCTTCCTTTTCCCCGCGACTTGTCAACCACACTGGCTGGGCCAAACTTGGCGTTGATCATTCGGCCGCAGAACTTGGGCTCGATGGATCCCATGTCAATGTTGATACGTTTAAATTGCCCACGCTTGGCCCGAGGCTTGTGGAGCTCAGTCTTGAAGTTCACAACGGCCGTGGGTTTGCCGTCATACGGGGAATAAACCCCGGAGACTACAGTGTCGAGGACATCACCCTCGCTTATATGGGTGTCGCCTCATACGTTGCCGACAAACGAGGTTGTCAGGACAAGCTCGGCAATATGCTGGGTAAGTTGTTTCTTCCCCTGCAACACAACACACGGGGCTGGGCTGATCGGGTTTAGTTCACATTGTCGCCACCAAGGCCAACGACAAGCATCACCGCCACTCTACTGACCCTATTGTAAGTCCATATCTTGGGTATGTGCCGTTCGAGCTGCTAGTCGACTGACTTTGTGTGCCAGACCTTTCACAACGAGGAGGCCGGAGACATCGTTTCTTGGCTCACCCGAGGAGCGGCTGCTTCCGGTGGTAAATGTGTTATTGCGTCGGCTACAACAGTCTACAACGTTCTGGCTGCCACCCGCCCCGACCTTGTCCGGGTTCTCGCTCGGGGCGACTGGCCGTTCGCGCTGTGAGTGTCATGGATACGTGTCTGTGTTACTGCTGTTCCGAGCACCGACTGACAGTGCCCCTCTACAGCCCCCGGTATCAATGTCGTCCTGTTCTCTTTCACGAGGACGGGAAGCTTATCATGAACTTCGGACGTGCTCCTCTCCTGGGATCAGCGGCCCACCCTCGCAAGAGCCGCCTCCCAACCCTCAATGGCCAGCAAATTGAAGCCCTGGATGCCTTAGAGGCTATTGCCCGGGCCACCGAGTTCCAATTCGCCACCCAGGCTGGTGACATTCACTTCATCAACAACCTGTCCGTGCTGCATCGCCGCGACGGTTTCGTCAACGACGGAGCTTCTCAGAGACACCTAGTCCGCATGCGTCTGCGCAGCTCGAACCTCGGCTGGTCCATCCCGTCAAGTCTGAGCCGGGAGTGGCTTGATGCTTTCGAAAGGCAATCCGACAAGGTGTGGCACATCGAGCCCATGCCCGAGCATTTCGCCCCTCTGCGGAAGCATCCCAACTGAAGGACTGCGCCTATCATTTTCTCTCTCTCTCTGTCTCTCTCTCTCTCTCTCTCTCTCTCTGCAGCAGCACTACGACCTCCAACGCGGAGCGGTGCCGGCACCGCTATCAGGGTTATCACAGCTACTGGCCTGCCCGTCAGGAGGAAGTAAATCCTTACGTCCGCACCTCCTCAGTCGTTCTATCAGGGCAGCGTATAAATGGCATTGGAAAATCGAAAACCGGTCTTTTTGTCTGTTTCAACATGTTCCGTGCTCACTTGTTTGTTTGTTTGTTTGTTTGTTTGTTTTGTTTTGTTTACTTTTGGCCGTTGCACTGGCGTCAGGACGGGCGTATCTGCGTCTCGGACGGGAATTGCAGGTCACATTTAAAAGTTCTGGTCCCTGGAAAGGGGTTTAAAAGGATGGTCATGGCGTCCCGGGACACGATCTTGAGTATGATCACCGTTGTCATTATCATAGTCCAGCGGCTTCATATTCTCAGGACGAGGCATTTACGCGGTCTGCATATTTGGTTACCCCTTGTTAGAACAAAACTGCGGTTTGTTTGTTCCCATCAGTCTGTGGCAATTGTTCCGTCCATTTTGGTCTGGGGGGGATGTCGAGTACCATTTATGGGGGCACAAGATAGAATAAGGGGTAAACATCTGTGGGAAAGACGAAACATGGCTGTCGGAAGAGACCAAGATAGGGTTAAGTCTGTTTAAACTAATGCATGCATGCTACATCCAGAATAATGCAGAACCAGACAGTAGAACAGGCCTTGGAAAACATGCCGTACCTGTCCGTGGGCGAGGTAGTGACTGACAGGGCCTGATGGGTTGCCCAACCACGCCCCAGTCACTCACTGGTCCGTGCTACCTGTGATCTCCCAGGTCTAGACTCCGCTACTCATTTGAACGGACTCGACGTGCCGACTGGCAAGAGAATCAAGCTACGTGTGCATGCTCAGGTCCAATTGCCCCCTCCAAAGCCTGGCCGATTGAAAGGAACATCGACACGCCCTCCGCCGGATGCAGCTTCCCGGTCCATGACAGTTAGCTCGCAATGGTCCAGCCACAACGCGCACTCGAGCGTGGTCGCCGGGTCCGACATGGCTGCAGAAAAAGGGACGGTCGGCGGGAGACATGACGAATGGATGGTCGAGAGAGGCCTACCACGGAAAGAGCCGTCGTCGAGGAGAGAGCGAGCACCGTCAGCGCCCAAACCTTCCAAGCCTCGCCCCAGAAGAAGGACGACAACTGACGTGACACAGTTGAAAGAGCCCCATACGCACGAATACACCGATCCTCGAACTTTAATTACCAGCCCTCGGTAGACTCATGCATGTGCTCCGCGCCACGACATGTCCTACCAGCCTGTGTACCACACGACAGCTTCACCACCCGCCCCGGGAAATCGTCTTGAAGCCACGGCTAAGCACCTGCGAACATCTTTCAGCACCTGGCCATCTCCGTCCCTATCCTAGCGAGAGACGGCCCTTCCCCAAGGGCAGATTTGACGATTCCTCGAACACCCTGGATGCTTGTTGTGGGCATACTTTGACCGGACCGTGGCCAACGGCTAGTGGCTAGCACCAAGCACCGAGCTGCATGCATGAAACGAAGGGCAACAATCGACGGGCGCGCCGTTCCATTCGTCGACATAGTATCACCCTGGCTGGCATGTGCGGTACAGCAAACAACATAGCATGCTGCGACTGGCAACTAATGAAACCCACAAATCTGGTTGAGCCGCCATCACGTCCCACGGGGCGCCAGGTGGCTGCCGACGTGGGGTCCGCCCGTGCTAGACAGAGTTGTAGTGTTACCGACAACTATACTAGGCCCATCAGGACTCGGGGCAAAGAAACATAGGCAGGACAGGGACATATGTGTCGTAGGCACTCCATCACCCGTGGGCGGTCCAGGACAGCCAGTGTCACATCGTGCGCGTCCAGAATGTTGCGGTGAAGACCGAGCTACAAATGCAGACGAGAAAGCCAAACCATCTGCAGGACAATTGTGGCGAGGGGCAGGATTCTGGTAGGCAGCTTACCGAAAGATCCGGCGGCCAGCACCAATAGCGAGCGTGCCGTAGCAAAGGTTACACCGACCCAGGACGATCAACCTGGAGTCGCGGGCCTCGGAGACGCAGGCACATTGCAGCAAGCTCAGGGGGGCACGGGCGCCCATGGCTTGATGGTCCCAGCACGAGGTCGGCACAACGAGGTTGTTGTTGCGTTCAACTCCACGCTGTGTGTGCTGGTACGGGATCATCTTGGGGCCGACGAAGGACATGGGGCCAAGATCAGACCACCAGGCAAGGGGCATCTTCGGGTTATGGCGCCATTGCTGTTCGGTCGGTTCCTACTCAAGCTCCCTCGGCGGAATAAAGAGCACACGGCACTGCGGGCGGGTAGGCTCACTGCAGCTGGCGGAGCGAGGAGATGCAAGGCCGCGGCTGGGCGCACAGGGAGCTGTCAACACACGCCGGGAAGAGGCAGACGCGGGCAGATTTGCCACGTACAGCTTGCAGGCGCCACGCTGGCAGACGATGGCGACGTATCATCGTGGCCTGCCGGCAAGGGAGAGAGTTATCGGGAAGACGGGGCCAGAGAACATTCAAGTGCCCAGCGACAAAGAGGCCGGACGTCAAAATAAACTACAGAGCCTACCCCTGACCAGAATCGCGGGCCGAGACTCGCCCCAAGCCCCTTTGCACAGCGGATTTATCCGCCGGCAGACAGGGAAAATCGCTGCTCAGGATCAGCCGACGAACCAGAACCTGCCGCCCGGCCTCGCGCGGGAATGCCTGGGCTTTGCCTGCTCGTGTCTCACTAGCCAGCCCTTGCTTCCCGCTCCGGGGAGATTTGCGGAGCAGATCCGCACATGGCGCTTCCGCCCGCCCGCTATGGGGTCCTACCCTCTGCCCCCTTCGAGCCTGTGAGTCCCGGGGCGGGCTGTGGTGGCCTGAGGGTTCCGCGGGGCTCTGACGAGTTCGCAAGCAGCCCTGGCCGCGAGCTGCGCGGCACGGCGTGGTTTTGTCTCATTTGGCGAGTGCGCACGCCTTTTCGATGGCGAGCGGGCGGCCCACCAGGCCACGCTGGGCAACGCGAGGGGCAGACAGGACAACAGAGAAGGGACGAGCCTCGCGGCCCGCAGCACAGCAGCACCATCCCACTGGCGCACAGCGCACGGTAGTCCCCGTGGAAGGCGCACCTGTCTGACGGGATCGGAAACCCCTCACACGGTGGCGCTGTGAGGTGGTTTTGATGTCGTTTGATGCCCAACATCGCAGGGCCGTCTCGTGTCCGCTCCGCCCAGGAGTCAACAAGGCGGCGCCCAGGCGTGACATCGCCTGACGTAGAGTGCTACGAGGCTTGTACACCAGCCAACGGCGTCTCTGCCAGCTTCGCCGCGCCCAACCACGCACGCGTCGAGCAGCTCAAATCCCGGGCCTGGGCGAGCCTCTTGCCTGGCTGCTTGCCCATGACCTGATCGCCCTATGGGCCACCGAACCGGCGGTTGTGCCCCGTTGTTGTGGCCTGACGAGGAGACTTCGGCGTGCAACAGCGGCTTATGGTGCGGGTGGCCGCCAGGTAGAGTAGCCATGCAGCAAAGCGATTGATGCAACGGCGCCACCATGTCCTTCTTTGCATTGCGCTTGCATATTTGGAACGTGTGCCCCGGGGCTCGCAGTGGGCATGCCTCGTCAATGGAATATGCGAGATGTAGGCGATACTTGATACACATGCCGCCGTCCCCGTGTCACAGGACGGTGTGTAGCACGAATGACCTCAACTTGTGCCACGGCCCCCAGGCAACGGGTCTGCGCAGGAATTGGGTAGCACAGCGCCGGAATGGGGTTATACGTCGAAGCCGGTGGATATTACACCCCGATAGTCGGCGGGTCGACCGATGTTCCAACCGCGTGGAGGGCGATGGCGCTGCGGAGTCCCTGGGTGGCTGGCGTGCCTGCCCTCCATTTCGTCGGTCGTTGACGAGTCTCCAATGGGTCCACGAGTACTGCGTACCCATCGGAACCTGTATAACCAGGTGTAGTCATAATCGCATCATTTGTCGTCGGTCTATATGCAGCCAGCCTCGTCTGCCATATTCGCCAGCGAGGAGGCGTAAGCTGTTGGCCTGGGCGAGGCTAGGAGTTGGAGTAGCAAAAGAGCTTCGTCCAATCAGTAAATGTGCTTGTCGGGGTAATCCTGCGCTGGCCCTGTAGCCGACCCCTTTCCAGGCTGAACATATCTTCGAGGCCAGGTACTTCCAAGTGTGCCACAAGTAATACAAAGACCTGGCCAGCTCGCCACCAGGGCCTTTTTGTGGGACGGATCTGCCTTCCCTACTCGGCAGAAATACTTGACAGTTTTGGGAGCTGCGAGTAGCATACCAGCCTGGTTAGTTGCCCACATCGTCAACCAAGCAGATGAGCTGTGTATTCAATTCTTGCAGCCGAGAATGAATAATTTGAGCAACCATGTAGATGATCAAAGCGAATCACCATCGACGCGCGCGGTCAGCGCACCGGTCTAGGTGCCATGGACACGGAGTTCGTCCCATGGATTTCCAGATATTGCGCACCTCACAGCCCTCCCCTGATCGTGAGGAATGAGAATTTGGCTTTCTCCGTGGTTTGCCACAAATGCGTGCACATGTGGAATTTTACACCCCTACATTTATTCAGGCGACGGATTTTAGATTCCTGCTTGAGGGTGACGGAGACTTAGGCCCAGGACACCGGCTTTGATGACATGATAATGAGTTCTCCGTTATAGCAGACGCTTCTTGTCAGGGATCTTTGTTAGAATAGAAGGGGATTGCCATGGGAAAAGGAAAACAATATTTATCCATGTTGGAAAACCATGCTATATTTCTAATGCTTAAAAGCGTTATAAATATAACTTATTTAAAAAAAATTAAGTAGCAAAGGAAAGGGAGAAAAGAAGGAATTAAGTTTAATTAAATTTTCTTACCCTTATAATTTAAACTTTTAAATTCTTTTAAAAAACA